TTTTCTGCTGGTAGCCATATAATTTCAAGTCTTATGTTTAAGTCTTTTATCCATTTGGAGATGTATAGGGTGTGAAATAAGGTGTCAATTTCATTTTTATGTAGATAGATATCCAGTGTCCCAGCACTACTTACTAAAGAGGATGTTCCTTCCCCATTGTGTGTTTTTGGAACCTCTGTCAAAAATCAATTGATTGTAGGCTGGGCATGGTGGTTGAGGCCTATAATTCTAGCACTTTGGGATGCCGAGCCAGGAGGATTGTTTGAGTCCAGGAGTTCGAGAACAGCCTGAACAACATAGCAAGACCCCGTCTCTACCAAAAAGAAAAAAAAAATTAGTGGGGTGTGGTGACATGCACCCCTCTACTCAAGAGGCTGAGACAGGAAGATTGCTTGAGTCCAAGAGTTCGAGGTTGCAGTAAGCTATGATGACACAACTGCACTCCAGCCTGGGAAACAGAACAAGACCAAATCTCAAAAAAAAAAAATGTAAAAGGAAATCAATTGACCATAAATGCTTAGGCTAATTTTTCTGGACTTTCTGTCCTCTTCCATTGGTTGTTGTGTCTGTTTTTATACCAGTATCATACTGTTTTGATTGCAAAAGTTTTATGATATATTTTTAAATCAAGGAATGTGATGTGCCTCTACCTTTGTTCTTTTTGCTCACATTTGCCTTGGCTATTCAGGGTCATTTCTGGTTCCATAGGAATTTTAGGATTGTGAAAAGAGACATAGAAGTTCATTATATAACGATAAAGGGGTCAATTCATCAAGAAGTTATAACAGTTGTAAATATGTATGCACCCAACATTGGAAGACCTGCAGATGTAAAGCAAATATTAATAGATCTGAAGGTAGAGAAAGACTGCAATACAATAATAGTAGGGGACTTCTGTACTCTACTTTCAACATTGGACAAATCATCTAGACAGAAAATAAATAAGGAAACACTGGACTTGAACCACACACACTTCAGACTAATTCGACCTAACAGATATTTATAGAACATTCCATATCAAATGTACATGGACTATTCTCCAGAATAGATCATATAGTAGGCCATAAAACAAGTCTTAATAAATTTAAGAAGATTGAAGTCATATCATGTATCTTTTCTGATCACAGTGGCAAGAAACTAGAAATCAATAATGAGGAATCTTGGAGAATTCACAAATATATGCAAATTAAATAACACGCTCATGGATAACCAATGGGTCCAGGAAGAAATTATAAGAAAGTAAAAAATACCTTGGGGCAAATGAAAATGGAAATGCAACACACCAAAACTTATGGAATGCAGCAAAAGCAGTCCTGAGAGGGAAGTTTATAGCAATAAACATTCTCATCAAAAGGAAGAAAGATATCAAATAAACAACCTAACATTATACCTCAAAGAACTGGAAAAAAAGATGAACAAAGCCCAACTTTAGCAGAAGGAAGGAAATAACAAAGATTAGAGCAGAAATAAACAAAATGGAGACCTGAAAAATAATAGGAAATATCAATGAATTTAAAAGTAGTTTTTTTTAAATAAAATCAACGTAACTTTATATGGACTAAGAAAAAAAGAGAAAAGACTGTAAATCATAAGTGAAAGAGGAAACATTATAACTGGTACCACAGAAATACAAAAAGATCATAAGAGACTACTATGAACAACTATAGATCAATAAATTGGGCAACCTAGAAGAAATGGATAATTCCTAGAAATATGCAATCTGCCAAGATTGAATAAAGAAGGAATAGAAAATCTGGACAGACCAATAGTGAATAATGAGATTTAATCAGTAATGAGTTTCCCATCAAATAAAAGCTAATGGCTTCACTGCTGAATTCTACCAAACATTTGAAGCAGAACTAATACCAGTCCTCATCAGACTCTTCCAAAAAATTGAAGAGGAGGGATTACTTTCAAAGTCCTTTTATGATACCAAAGCCAGACAAGGACACTACAAGAAAATAACACTACAGGGCAATATCTCTATTGAAAATAGATGCAAAAATCTTCAATAATATATTAGCAAACCAAATTTAAATGCACATTACAAAGAGTAAAAAAATAAAATGATAAAAAAAAAAAGCTCATTCACTAGGACCAAGTGGGATTTATCCCTGGGATGCAAGGATGACGGCTCAACATACATAACTCAATACATGTGATACACCATATTAACACAATGAAGTACAAAAACCACACTATCATCTCAATAAATGCAAAAAAAAAAGATTTGACAAAAATTCAACATCCATTTATGATGAAAACTCTCAACAAAGTAGTATAGAAGGAATGTACCACCAAACAATAAAGGTCATATATGACAAGCCCACAGCTAACATCATACTCAGTGGTGAAAAGTTCAAAGCTGTTCCTCTAAGAGTAGGAACAAGACAAGGATGACCGCTGTTGCTACTTTTATTCAACATGGTATTGGAAGTCTTAGCTAGAGAACAATTAGGCTGGCTGGCTGGCTGGCTGGATGGCTAGCTAGCTAGCTGAATGAATGAATGAATGAAAAGAAAAGAAAAAAGAAAGAAAGAAAATGTACCCATATAGGAAAGAAAAAAGTGAAGTTGTTTCTGATGACATGACCTTATATCCTAAAACTCTACCAAAAAAAAAAAAAAACTGTTAGAACTGATATATAACTTCAGTCAGGTTGCAAGTTACAAAAACAACATACAAAAATCAGCGGTGTTTCTATACAGTAACAATGAACTATCCAAGGAAATCAAGAAAACAATCCCATTTATGATAGCATCAAAAAAGTACTTATGAGTAAATTTAACCAAGGATAGGTGAAAGATCTGTACAGTTAAGACTATAAAATATGAAAGAAATTGAAGAAGACACAAATAAATTGAAGGTATCCCATGTTCATAGATTGGCTCTTTCTCTCTCCTTTGGCTTGCTTCTCAAAGTTGATTTTCTTTTTTTTTTTTTTCTTCCTCTTCCCTGTTGATGATGATGCTTTTTGTTTTTATACTGTAAGCAGTGATTTTCAACTATAGTAGTTTCTACCCCCCCCCCGCCCCCGGGACATTTGGTTATATCTGGAGATATTTTTTGTTGGTCACAACTTAGGGCTGGGGGATGCAACTAGCATCTAATGGGTACAGGCCAGGGATGCTGCTAAACACCCTACAGTGGACAGGCAGCCCCCAATAATGAATAATTATCCATTCCAAAGAATCAATAGTTTATGATTGAGAAATCCTAAACATTTTTTTCCTTTCCATCTACCTATAATATACGGAGAGAACAAAGCCAAGCAGAAGTAGTGGTTGATTGTTGCAAGGAACTCAAAGCAGTAAGAAATGTTTGGAGAAGGAAGATTTACCAAAGTACCAAAGTTAGGGTACCTCCTATTCCTATCTTAGAGTTGTGGAATTTTCTTTTGGTTGAGATGGGGAGCAGTTGCCAAAAAGAAATCCTCTTGCCTGGTAATGATGCTAGTGCATTTTCTGTCATTATTTACTCAGCATCTTGCAGTTTTACATAAATTCTCAGATCTCTATCTAATGTGTTCTTATAAATTAAATTTGACATTTCATCAATTTTGCTAGTCATTTATCATTTTTTGGTCATTTTTCCAGTTTAAAATGGCCAGTGGATCTACCTTTGCCTGAAAAGAAAGACTTCATTGCTCTTAAGATTGTGAGATGTTGAATGATTTCCTATTGTTGATTGTGGCATGGTTGTAATTATACTAATATAGCTAGTGCTGAGTTCTTGCCTTAAGTTTGCCTTGCTTACCCATAAAGCTATTATCACTTGTACAATATTATTTATGCAGTATGGTCAGATGTCACCTTGCCTCAAAGTGACTTTGAAGTTATAGGGATCCTGTGTTTTGATTAAAATATAATGTGGGGTGTTAAGTATTTTCAGTGTATAAGAGAAGATGAAGAATTTTACAGGGCAAGTGGGTGGTAATAGGTTTTTACATCGGGATACAGATTCTTTTTCAAAAGTGAGCAGAATCCGGATGGTATTTCGAGGAGAATTGTGTAGAATTATACTTTATTTTGGCTATTTTTTAAGGAAATTTTTTTGGGGGGGTCCCATCGAATTTATTTATCTTTTATATTTTTTTATTTCAGGGTATTATGAGGGTACAAACATTTTGGTTACATTTTATGTTTTTGCCTCACCCAAGCGAGGGTTAGAGGCATGCCCTTCCCCTCTACAGTGCGCATCGTGTCCTTTAGCTGTGAGTTTATCCCCCCGTCCCCCTAATCCCTAGAGAGTATTACTGCCATGTGAGCACCATAGTGTTAATCAGTTAGTGCCAATTTGATGCCGAGTACAAGTGGAAAGCAAGTAAACAAGAAATAAATGAGACAGGATCTAAAATGACCTCACAGGATCTGAAGCTTTAAAAGTTCTTTGGTAACTAGAGAGCCTCTAGATTCAGAAACCAAAAAGAGGAGAACCCATAGACAAACCTAGATTGTTTGCTACTTAAAACTGATACAGTGTCATAGCTTTCCTTATCTTTTCACTGCATAGGTCTCTTGTATTACTCTTGAAGTTTTAGGGGAAGTCATATATGGGGTAGACAGGTGTGAGGAGAAAGAGCAGAAGTTTGTAAAATTCCCCGTTTAATGTTTTAAGTGTATATACTTAACTAAACTTTTTATTCTAAAATTCCTTCATGTAATAGAAAGATTCACCTATATATTTAAAGTGACACTGTCTTTGACTATAGTGTACCAAAAAAGGCAAAATGGGAATATCCTTGATAAACCACAGTAAGCCAAACAGAATATCAGACCCCTGGGATTTAACAGAAGAGTATTCTTTAGTGCTTTCTTGTAGTCAACTTGAGCTCATAAAATCCTGAAATGTGTAAGGGAATTTACACTTCTTATAGGGTAGAATTGCTATGGTGTGTGTACTTTGTTTTGTCTCATCTTAGTATTCATGACTTAATTTCATGAAGTAGGTTTCACTTTTAGATTGTAAGAAGTAAATCTCTTCTATTTTATTTTTTTCAGTGACTATCACCTCTGCCAGGCAACTAACCGGATGTAGTCGCTTCAGCCATATTTTCCCTTCATCTGCTTACCAGCACATTAAGATGCATAAGAGGATTCTGGGGCATTTGTCATCTGTCTACTGTGTAGCATTTGACAGAAGTGGGAGAAGAATTTTTACAGTGAGTTTAAAATTTATGATATAGTAACATATATATAAATATAACAATTGAAGCTAGACTTCATGGCATTGCATTGTGCTTTGTAATGGACATATGAATGCAGAAAAAGATGAGTGGAAATTTAAAGTCTTTTTCTATTTTATATAAGTAAATGGGTGATCTATAATCTCCGTTATCTTTTGGGAAATTTTTAATTAAAAAATAAACCTTCAGAAGGCCTTATATTCTAGAGGTGGTTAATTTATGTGAAACAAATATACTCAATTTCATTCCATTTTAGCAAACTTTATTACTTTTATTTTATTTTTTATTTTTTTAGAGACAAAGTCTCACTCTGTTGCCCAGGCTGAAGTGCAGTGGCACGATCATAGCTCACTGCAACCTTGAATTCCTGGGCTCAAGCAATCCTCCCGTCTCAGCCTCCTAAGTAGCTGGGACTAATAGGCACAGGCTACCACTCCTGGCTAACTGTTTTGTTTTTTTTAGAGACAAGGTCTTACTATGTTGCCCAGGCCGCTCTTGAACTCCTGGGCTCAAGCAATCCTCCCTCCTCGGCCTCCCAAAGTGCTGGGATTACAGGCTTGAAACATTGTGCCTAGCAGTAAACATTTATTAAGGTGCACTTTCCGTGTGTCACATAGTGTAATTGCTGCCAGTTTTGTTTAATTAATGATTACTTCACCTTTATGATTGAATAGTTGAACTATGCATTTAACAATGAATATTATAATTATTTTGTATATCTTTCTTTGATTATAGTATTGATTATTTTTAAAATTGGGTTTTTATTAGTCAGATCATCCTGTAAGCTTTTGAACACAAAATTGTAGCACACCAATATTTCCAAGAAAGGGCTTAGTCTCATTACTTTAGTACTAAATTAACATAGAAGTGTGGGTTACAGCATATTTTTTTTTATATTTGTATGCTACAGCAAAGGAAATGAAGTTAGGACTCCTTAGAATTCATTACTGACTCTTCCATTGATGACATTATGACTCTAAACGGGACACCTAAGTATTTGAATGTTAATGATCATGACGAGGATGATGAATGCCATCTTTTAATAAACAGATAATTATTAAATAACTTATCTACCATATTGAAGTAGAATTGCTTTTTACTATTTTTAAAGCTCTTTTGAAATTCTCAATAGGAAGTTCAACATAATATTTTTACCAGAGATTATTATTAACAGCCTGCCTCGTGTTTACTGAGAAATGCATATAGACTTTAGGTTAAATTTTGAAGTATTTGTAGAAAAAAATATTTAAGTAATAAAAAAGGCTACCAGGCCTAAGGAAAGAAATATGGTAGAAATACTTAATGCTAAATCACTTAAAAGTCAGTTTAAAATATTTTGATTTATCAGGATTGGTAATAGTTTTGAGTTCTTCAGAAATGCCATTGTCAATTTTGACAATGCCTTGTTAGTGCTATCATTTGCATGTCATTTATATTTGCTACTGGATATGTATTATATAGAAAAAAGTAAAGACTTAGAAGTAATTTAATAAAATCCTCTCTTTGTCTTTTTGGCCTTTTTTGAAGGGGGCAGTGAATTTCTGCTTCATTATAAATATTCTGTCCTTTTTTGTTACTATAGGGTTCAGATGACTGTTTGGTAAAAATTTGGGCTACAGATGATGGACGCCTTCTTGCTACACTTCGAGGGCACTCTGCTGAAATTTCTGATATGGCTGTTAACTATGAAAACACTCTTATTGCCGCAGGCAGCTGTGATAAGGTTGTAAGAGTATGGTGTCTTCGAACTTGTGCACCGGTTGCAGTCCTTCAGGGACATTCAGCTTCTATTACTTCCATACAGGTAAGAAAAATTATAAGATAGCTCTAACATATTATAAAGGTGAGAATCATTTTTTGTTACATTGTATGGATGATAGCACAAATAA